ACATTTGAGCAATGCAATTGTAGTGGATAAAATGGTCAATTTTTCCGTGCAGTACTGTACGGATTATACGCTCCTCACCGGTTAAGAGTTTGGCCGAGAGTTGTCTCCTTCCTTTTCTGGCCTAGTGCTGTTCTTTTCTACTTTGCGCCGGTCAAACTGAAGGTCATATCGCTACAGAAAGTAAACGAAGTATGCTGCACAATCAAAAATGTACTGGTCTTCTTGACTAATAATTTTTTTAAATTATAATAAAAAATAATAGATAGTATCCAATGGCAGTGCAGAACTTAGAATAGGAACTGGTAGACACCTTTAAAAGCAAGTACAAGAAATGCCCTTTAACACAAACTCACATACGAAGTGGTAAGGTGAATACAAATCACAAACAGGTGTCAATTTTCTATTATTTTTTTTACTGACAATTTTTATACCAAACAGACATAGGTGTGTTTGTGTTCGAAACAGAAATAGAACAGTACAGAACAACAACGAAAGCATAAAGCGCCAGTCATGCGAAATTACATTTTTTTTATAAGCTACACACTAGGTATGTAATTACGGTTTTATTAGGCAATTTGCTTGCAAATTTGATAGCACAGACGAACGGTTGATTACTTTTAAGCGAGACTGTATTTCATCTCATTTTCCGAAATCACGTAATTGGGTAGGAGAAGAATCATAATCAAGGAACAAGTATTGCCTACAAAAACCGTTCTAATTAATAGTCTAACGTAAGCTACAGTTTACAACTGCAGGTGTTTGTATTATATTATGTGAACCGGGATTTAGAAAGGACGGGATAAAATAACAAAGGGGACATGATCGTCTTGATGAGAAAGTATAATACCGACTTCCAGAAAAAAATATTATTCTGTTGTTAGACGTTTTAATAATCAAAGCAGTGAATGTAAAGAGATGCATTTACATAAATAATGCAGACTTTTATATAAGATATAGAATAGAGAAAGCTTTTTATATTGAGAATGAAGTAGAAATAAATAAATAAATAAAAGTTTTACGTACCAATCCGACAAGGAGAAAGAAAACCAAAAAGGTCCTTCCAAGGACAGTCTGACAATAAACGTCACCATAGCCAACTGTGGACATGGTTACGATAAGGAAATAGACACATGTCCAATACGGAAGGGGGTGGGGGTTGTCAAAGTCTAATGGATCTCCTGAATTTTCAAGCTGTAAAGAAATTAACCTGACTTAATTATTTCAATATAAAAGCAAGTCAAGTTGAGTTATCTAAGGGGTCAAACAATGAATTGAAAGGCTGTAGGACTATAAGCATAGTAAATCGGTCCCAGATGGATTATTTTTTGAGGGTATGTATATTGGTACTAATAAGATACGTTAATTTTAGACCTCTATCTATTTTGGTTTTTAAATAAATCCAAAAAATGATAAATCAGAAAATATTTTTTTTCTCAAAAACGAATTAACCGATTTGAATGAAATTTATACACTTTATAGAGAGATATAAAAGCTTTACTCGAAAAAAATAACAGCTTCAATAAACTTTTTTTATTATGCCATGCCTCTCAAATCGTTAAATTGGTCAAAAAGGTACGCTATATTGAAAAACAATAAAATTTTCCGTTTTTTTCTTTGGATTTATTCAAAAACCAAAATAAATAAGAGGTCTAAAATTTTTAGGATTAATGTACGTCTCATTAGTACCAATATACCCTCCAAAAGTAATCCAAATATATCTCTGGGGCCGATTCAGTATGTTTATCGTCCTATGGCCTTTAGTATAATAATATGGTAGGCAGTCCATTTAGGCTTAAATAATTGTTGCAATTTATGCATAAGTAACTTACCAAATGAATAATTCCTGCCGCTGTTAGCCAAACAGAAATAAATATGGACACTAGCTGAGCTAATCGGATGGAACTGGAGGTTTTCAGAATGTTCAAATACTGAAGAATATCAGGGACCGTCATCAACCTTAAAGCACGAAGAAACCGAAGACCTAAATTGCAAAAGAAAAATTAAAATCACCAATTCTAACTTTAATTTAAGCAATAAGATTTTTGTTGGGATCAATGAGATTACAAGGCACGGTACCCTATTAGGGTGTACACACGTATGCATAGAAGCTACAATAAATGGGAGACCTTAAAGTCATTGATCCGAAATTGATCACAACAACTCCATCGTGGTGTGTAATTGATAAATAATCAATTTATCGCAAATAATGGATCGCCAAAGGGTAGCCCCGAAGATTGAAGACAGGGTGCTCGAAATAACAACCCATCGATGGTCATAAGTCATAACCAATGACAATTAAACATTAGGGGAAAAGGGATAAAAATCCATAAGGAAATGTCTAATGTTAGCACACTTATGCAAACTATCATCAAATGACTTGAAAAAGTAAAAAATTTAGAAAGCCCAGGGGGGGGCTATTGTGTTGTTGACTAAAACGAGGTTCTTGTAGGAATAGGGCTAATAGCCTTTTCCTCTCGCATACTCGCATGGAGTGGTTGAAGCAGGGAACACAAGAGGTGATCTTTTCACTAATCATCCCATGTTTGTAAAACCCACTGTTCCTATCGTTCGAGTGAACAGTACTACAGTCCTTTTGGTTACGGCAGCGAGGGTTTTATTATCTTTTAAACGTTTTTAGACTTGAAATTGCAAATGAAGAGAAAACTTTTTCACATCAAGATACAGAAACAACCCTTGTGGAGTTAAACCTAAATACATCATATGTACCAAATGTTATTTAAGAGGTTAATATTCCATGTTAAATATTAAGGTGAAATTAACTTCATATCCTTTAGAGATTATCCCAAATTAATAAGGAAAATTGTCGCTCCTATCACATTCTTGTGACACCTTCGGTGTACTTATTGTCGTTGTTGCACCTCTCGTAGCTTAGTGGTACAGAATTAATGCGTAAACCCAGGGGCGCGGGTTCGATTCCCGGCGAGAGCGTGACAGTAGCAACAATTTTTTTACATTAATTTGAGATAATCGGTAGAGAATAGAAAGTCTTTATTAAGAATCCGTTATCAATAAAACAGACTTAAGACTTACCAATCCACGTTCGATCCAAGTAAATTGATACGAAGGACGGGGGTATCGTGAAGTAGTCTACAAAGGAGTACATTTCCAACATGAACCACAATTTGTCGCTAGCCGCTATAAACTAGAAAAGAAAATAAAATAGGTAGAACAATAAACAGTTAGGCACAATTGTCTAGTCCATTCAATGAGTATGCCCAATTTCGAAAAATGCTTAACGTTAATTTATGCTAAACGATAAAACACTTACGCACTTAATTTAATAACTGTTTAAAATTAAACACAAGAATGTGCCAAAATGGGTCGTCGTGAGAAAATTTTCAAAAAAGTCAATAAACGAGCACTTAGAGAAAGATATTTATTACATAATGAAAAGCTTCAAATTAGTAACATTGCAACAGTAGCTGTTTCGAATATCTGGCGGAATTTATTCGTAAAGAAAAAATACGTAAATTTAAACAATTACATAACGCTAAACATATTTTTTGCGTTATTATGTGAAACCGTGCGTTATGGTGCTCGCAATGTCTTTTATTTTTACACTTTGATGGCTCTTTCGTTTATGACAATTTTATGAGCTACGAACAAAATTAACAACTTTTTAATAGGACAGTTAAATATGAAACGATTCACTTTGTCCCTAACGTATTTCGAAAGTTATTAAAATGTCACAATTTTATTTTTAAAGGAATTTCGCNGCGTCCTGAAATTGAAATGTTAGAACTAATATAAAATATAACAAAGTCTAATTATGTAAATCACCGAGCTTAATTAATATTATTCTTAATTCTAGCCCCGCTTAATGAGCAACAACCCTATCAGACCACTAACTCATTTCCTTACGAGAATACGCCATGGGCGTATCATAAGGGGCACAGGAGAGGGCAATATTTCATTAGAATTAGCAGCCTTTTAATTAAGAAAAACAGACCATTACTTTGACGAATTTCCATATGAATTATGGGAATGCTATTTTTATATATATAGTGATTGAAAAACTTTTGCATAATACAATAATTAAACAAATATTTCGACATTGGCTCGACTATGCCCTCACCTCACCAAGAAACTGAATATGCCCATGTCGATAAATAAAATATTTTTAAAAGTTCATTAAAAGTTTATCCATTATATGTATACCAAGCGTTTGTGGAAGAATTCACAGCCATGTACTGTAGATTTAGAAACCTCCATTTTTTCAGCTTTAAATAATTAAGATTTATAAAAAAAAGGATTTCGCTTTGAATCAGGATAGTCCAGAAACATACAGTAATTAAATTGTGTGGAATATCCTGACATTATCAAACAGTTAATTAAAATTGTCCGTTCTTATTTATTGTAAAAATATTATGGACTGTTTTTATTGTCATTAATATTTAACTTTTATTTTATGTAATATTTTCTTTCTTTTTCGTTCATTGTTTAATAGCCTTATAAAAAAGAGTTTTAGCATCGAATCCTTTAAGGTAATATTGATTTCAATAACTTTTTAGTGTACAATAAATTATAGAATAGTACCGTAGTAACCGCTAATAACAAATTAATTACATATATCGTGAAGGTGTAATTATAAATGATCATAAAAATTTATTCTTCTTCGGCCAATTCAAATATTACATATGATTCTGTTATAAAATCATGAATGCAATTGAATGTTTATGCAGATAGCATATTATGAATTTATATTTCACACATTTTTGTAATCCTGCACGCATGTATGGTACGCGTGTGCGTGGCTGAAACAGGCTGTGCAGGTGCAACTAAAATAACTATGGGGCTTCGCTATCTAGACAAGCTAAAAAACAAACCATTCTGTATGCTCACACCAGACATTTGTTATTGATAAATGTATTATATACAATGCAGTTTCAGTCCATTCAAATTTGGACGGTATCGATGGTTCATAGTTCATATAACACTTACATTTTAATTCTCGCGACATTTTCAATAAAATCTTTTATTTAATCTAAATTTTATACATAAAACATTAAAAATTTAATGATTATAACATGTCACGTTTTGATAGTCAGCTAGTTTCAGTTTCAACAGTGCTTTTTTCCGATTTTCATTGGCCATTATCTTTTAAATCACTTTTCTAGGTGAAAGTTTTCGTTGTTTTACGATTTTATCCACATACAGTCACATTCATCTTTAATTTGATATCACTCACGAACATATATACACGAAATCGCGCAAAAGTTTTACAAAATACATGTTTTAGTCACGTATAATTTTTGTTTATCTGTTCATATTGTTAATCTACAGCATTTTTTACTTGATAATAACAAAAATTATGTCTTGTCTGCCGCTAATGATCGTATAATAAGATGCAATATTTTTCCACTGGTGGAAAATAATTTTGCAAGGATTAAAACAAAACGCAAATGGCCTAGTGGTTACGGTAGTCGCTTACAATATCGGAAGACTGCAGTTCATTCCTCAATCGTTGCAATATATTTTTTTTAATTTTATGTTTTATTTCTTACTATGAGGTTTTTATTTATTTATTTTATTGTTATCTTTGTTAGCATACAGTATGTTGTGCGTTGTTGAAAAAGCTATTTTAGCATGCTAGTAGTCTATCTAAGAACGTCTGCTCTATTTCCAATTCTTTTAAAAGAATACAAAATTTTTAAACTTTGCTAAGGCCCTTTGATCAGGAACACTGGTCGCAAAATTTGACATTGTTATAAAACCACACGTGAAACAGTTTTCTAAAACAATTAATAGGTGGCGCCTACTAATACTGTAAATCCCTTCATGGAATGTTTTGTTTTCGGGTTTCGTTAGGGCCTTAGCAGCATTTCGTATTAATTAAACGTGTCTTTAATAATAAACTAACGCATGGCAGCATTGTATGTAAGTGCTATGTAATAAACTGAAAAAAGTATGGTACCATGTCAATAACCAGTCAATTAATAAGTGGTTAGAATAAAGGTCTCCTTCAAGTTATACCTGCGGCGTACGTCTTTAGAATATGATCCACCATATTTGGGCCTATTTGCAGCAAGCTCCGTGATCTCGGGAATCCAACTGGCAAAAACAGCCTAGTAACCAACCCATATAACCCGATCAGGCTCCTCCTTAGACTTCAAAGCTTTCTACTCTACTTTTTTATTTTTTTTTTTTTATTTTACATACATTTCAGTACCAAACAGTAACACATTAATTTTGTTTTGTTTAGTTGGCATGAATGCTACTTAACTTAAGTTAGTTACGTTAAAATTTAAAACAAACGAAAAATGAGCTTCTACCCAAATACCGCGTAATTTAAAAAAACATTCGCGTCTAAAATATAAATTAGCGAATGTGGTTACTAAATCTTTCGCAAGAATATTAATATTGAAAGGAAAACAACCGACTCTGGGATGAATGTTTTTTTTTTTTTATTAAACTTTATAATCTACACACCTAATACGTTTACGTTTAGGGCTACAATGTTTCTTCAGGGTTACAAAATAAAAAATTAACAGTGAATATGAAGCAAAGGATTAATAAAGTACATAAGACGTCAAAGGCAGGGTGGTGAAACGGCTTCCCTGCCATTTCTACGTTCCCAAATTATCTAATAAGCTAGGCTACGATTATTATTATTATACTATTAAATTAATTATTAACTATAGTTGTTAAATCGTTGTCT